GGCCAAGATGGCCAAACTTCGTCTCTCATACTTTGGACATATAGCCAGGAGGGACCAGTCGCTGGAGAAGGTTATCATGTTTGATAAGGTGGAAGGTCAGAGAAAAAGAGGAAGACCCCCAATGAGATGGATTGGCTAAGTGGCAGCATAGATGGACTCAAGCGTGGCAACAGTAGTGCGGCTGGCCCAGGATCGGGCAGTGTTTTGTTCTGCTGTGCATACGGTCACTATGGGTCAGTACTGACTTGATGGCACCTAACAACAACAAGCCTAGTCTAGACCTAACCATAGTCCTCAACTCCTTAGTCCTACCTGATCCCCAAAGAATGAAAGAAGATACTTGGGGATATTTGAATACTGAGTAGATTTCTGATAAGCAGAAGAATGATTGGTAACATCTGGAGTGATGATGGTACTATTGTTATGATGTTTAAAGTCTGTACTTTGAGATTTATTGCTAATACATTCATGGTTGGAGGCAATAATATGATGTCTGAGGTATGCTTCAAAATAATCCAATGTGGGGGTAAAACAAACAAATTGCCATCCAGTTAATTCAAACTTGTGGACAATCTTAGAGGACAGAGTATAACTGCCCATAGGGTTTCTAAGGCTTGATTCTGTAATTTTTCTGGAAGGAAAGTGACACATTTTTCAATTGTGGAATGGCTGGTGGGTTTGAACAGCTGACCTTTTGGTTAGTAGCTGCATGCTAAACCACTGTGCTACCACGGCTCCTTAGTGTGAAGGTAGGTGGAGGAAAAAGTAACTGAAGGTTAGAGTAGCCATGAGTTGACTACTGAAGTTGGTGATTTTGTAGTTCAGAGGTCAGTTCATTATACTTTTCACTATTCTTGTTCATGGTTGGAATATTTTCTACCCTCCTCATGGTTTCTCCACAACAACGTGACAAAAATTTTTCAAACATAATCAATTTATTAAAATCAAGAATTAGGTGGTGGTTGTTGTTCAGTGCCTTCGAGATGACTCCAACTCATAGTGACCCTGTATAAGGTTTCCAAGGAGCGGCTGGTGGATTTGAACCGCTGACTTTGCAGTTCAAACTGACCTTGCGGTCTGGTGCGTTATCCTTCTGTGCCACACCAGGATTCCAAAGATTAGGTTAGATTTTATTTAGTTAGAAATTTGTTAGGCCACAAAAACAATCTATTATGTAAAATTAAATTTTCAGGTAAAAACAAGATTTAGTAGTATTCAAACTGAAGGGTGAAAACATGACAAGCTTAAAGGAAGTATAAGAAATTTAATAGTCACTTCTTGAAAAAATAATTTTAAATATAAACCTTTGGAAATTATTGACTCAACTGAATTTGGTAGAGATCATTATAAGAAATCTGGAACTATGCACTTATTAGGATCATTAGATAAACTTTAGAACTGGGTGGTCAATCTGAGCCACTCATTTTATTGCTGGAAAAGTCCAAAACATGAGATCCAGAAGGATTAACTGATGAAACCATTTTTAAAAGAAAAAAACAAAAACTAGAAACTATGAAACTATAGAGGGAAAATTATCATTTCGAATTCTACAATTTAAATGATGTTCTCTTTAAATTCTGGGTTATTTCATATCAGGCTTTTTATTTTATCTTTTTACTGTTGAGGTGTATTTTCCTCCCAATAACTGTAAACATATAAAAATGTTATGTTTTCCCTAGCCCATATTTACATATAGATATAGTTAGGATTATCATCAAGTATTTGATTTTCTCAGAAGATGAAGCTTCCTAATGTGTGTTGTTTCCTCTTGAATACTGGTTGATGGGTAACATAGATTCTTCGTTTTCTTTATGGATCAAGGTTAGCAACAACGGATATGATAGGTTGTAGAGGAGGACTGAGAACTATCTTCCTATCTGGGGTAAACCAATCTATGCTGGTACAGGAAGAAAATGTGTTCAACTAAAGTTGTACTCTACCTGTTGAAAAGCTTTTTCTGCTTGACGTTCAGCATCAATAACTTGTCTTTCAAGCTGCTGCATCTGTAACATGAGTGGGATAAAAACAATTCACATTTTGCCATTTGCACAGGGACTTTAACATCTCACAACATTTACTTTAAAATATTTTAAGTACTTTATTGGATATGAATTGCATACAATGAGCACACTAAATGTTCTAAACATTTAAAAACGGATCAAACAAAAATGCCAAAGGTAGAATACCTGTAGCACATACCATGTGAGTATTCATCACTAGAATTGTCTGCATGAAATTGAAAATTAGAAATTACTGATCAGCACATATTAATAATAATAAATTAAATCCCAAAGAAAAATAAGACCTCAAATATTATATTTGATGTGATCAAAAAGTCACAATGAAATTAGGGAAGTGGTGTAGTCTCATGAGATATACAAGGGGTATGCTTAATCAAGACTCTAGGTGGTGTCATACCTTATAAATTGGTCAAACAAGACTGTGATTAAAAACACACACATACATACACAAATCCACAGAATCACAGAACACAGCGGATTGAAACTTAACATGCTTTTTTTTTTTAAGTTAAGAGAATAAAATGTTCAAAAGCAAAGTACAATAACAGGACTCATAAAAGTAATGTGTACGAGGTACTGAATCTACAAACCGCGATGCAAAACTCAGTCTCAATTATTTTCCCCCCTGCAGTCATCTCATTAAATAATTTTTAAAAATCTCATTTGGATTCCGATTTAAGGAGACCTCATGAGTTTCAGAGTAGAGTAGCACTCCATGGGGTTTTCAAGGCCGTGGCATTTTGGGTGCAGATCACAGGCCTTTCTTCCCAGTTACCTGTGGGTGGGTTCCAAAGCCAATCTTTTGGTTAATCATGATGTACTTAACCATTCGCGCCACTCAGAAACTCGTGTTTGCATATGCTTTATAAAACATATTGACATTTGGACAATTTGAGAGCTATCTGTGACTCCATCTACGTACTTTTTCAATTTTATTATCTGATGGTACTTGAGACGCCCAAGTACCAACCTTGAGTTAATGCACTGGACTGCAAAGTAGGTTTAAGACACAAGGTTGGTGGTTCAAGTTCACCAGCAGCTCCTGGGGAACCCTATACAGGATTGCTATGGGTCACAACCATCTCTACCGCACACAACAAGAACAAACACTTGACACGCCCAAAACTTCCGGTCCACCTCAAACTAACAATCACCAAGATCTCCTTGGACTCCCAAGCCCACCATAGAGTAGCGACCTCCGGCAGCTAGAGCATCCCTACAGGAAGAGCAGCAGCCAGCTCAAAACGGGTAGCAAGAGGGACCAGATCCAGGCTGCATTTATTCCACACGCACTGTTCTCAACGCCTGAAAAATGATTTCCAATAACAGGGCATCGTTTTTTAAGGGTATGCTGCTCGGAAGCATTTCCTATGTTTTGATAACGGTGTTTGGCAAAATTAACTTTGGACAGTTAGGTAAAGTTCAAAAGCATGAGCACCATCACCTTCGCGCACCTGCTAGAGAAGATTTTTTTAAAATGTCACCAGTACAACGCATGATGATTAGCAAAAGTCTCCGTGTTTACTGTATTGTACTGGAAGAACCCATGTATGAGAGTTATTATACTACGTTGAAAGATACCTGGACCAAACACTGTGACAGTGCTGGGTTCTACGGTACTAAAAATGATGGTTTGTTAAATATAGAAACAGATGACATCTGGCTGCGGATGAAGGAAACATACAAATATGTCTTTGAAAATTACGGCTATAACTACAGTTGGTTCTTTCTTGTACGTCCCACTACGTTTGCTGTCATCGAAAACTTAAAGTATTTTTTGTTTCTTAAGAACGCAACACAGCCTTTCTATCTGGGCCACACTGTAAAATCTGGAGACCTAGAATATGTAGCAATGGAAGGAGGCATTGTTTTAAGTATGGAGTCGATGAAAAGACTTAACAGAGTTCTCAGCTCTGATATCTGTTATGACCAAAGTATGATTTGGAAGTTATCTGGAGATATGCAGCTGGCCATCTGTTTGAAATATGCAGGAGTTCTTGCAGAAAATGCAGAGGATTCTGAAGGAAGAGATATATTTAATACAGAAACAATTGGGTATCTTATTAATGAAGCAATATCTAATAATCCTGGGCATGTAGTAGAAAGCTGCTGTTCAGATATGGCTATCACTTTTAGTGGACTGATTCCTCAAAAGATGGAAGTAATGATGTATGGAGTATATCGGCTTAGGGCATTTGGACATCATTTCAATGACACGCTGATTTTCTTACCCCCACGTGGTTCAGAAAATGACTGAGGGCTGGGGAGTAATAGAACTGTACCATCCAATAAAGTAGCCATGTGCCACTTTTAGCTTTTGAGCACTTGAAATATGGCTACTCCAAATTTGAGATATAGTGTAAATGTAAAATACAATTCATTCAATAATAGGTAAATTATTGAAGATTTAGTATTAAAAAGGTTAAATAACTTGTCGGTTTTTTATATAGACTACATATTGAAACAATTTTGGACATGCTGCATTAAATAAAATATTTTTCTTTGTCCTTCTGTTAATGTGGCTGGCTATTAGGAAATTTTTCAATTTCACATATTTTTATTGGCTAGTAAAGCTGGAGAATAACTAATTGTTGCCACAAATGGTCCAGGAGTTTCAAGTCCATGACTTGAAAAGGCAGTCTATCACAGGATCTAGACTCTGGAAAGGTTTTAAAGTTTTGATATGTAAATAGTCATTCCCCAGAGCATTCTTTGAATCTCATAGGATCTTACATTTTGATGAAAATATTTTTTAGTAAGCAAGTACAATTATCTAAAAGCATTTTATTAAGAATTATTGTTATAGACTAAAACATGTAGAAGCAGTTAGACATACATTGTCTCTTCTGTCTAGTGAACCAAAAGGCCAATGGCAGACACAGGCCACACAACATCCCTCCAGTATATGCTGAGAGTTGACATCACTACAATGTAACTACATTATACAACCAGGAGAATTTGGGGCACATTATAATGTCAAATGTCTGTCGTCTGTAAAGCACTGCATATAAGAAGGATAGTGTTGTTGTTTTAAAGTGCCGTCAAGTCAGTTCTGACCCATAGCAGCTGTGTACAGGGTTTCTGAGGCTGTAAATCTTTATGGGAGCAGAGAGCCTCATCTTTGTCCCACGGAGCGGCTGGTAGTTTCAAACTGCTGACCTTAAGGTTCACAGCCCAATTCGTAACTACTACACTACCAGAGCTCCTTAAGAAGGATAGTATAAAGGTCAGCAAAAAAGAGGAAGACCTCAACCAGATAGACTGATGTAACAATGCATCAAAGATAGATTGTTTGCAACAGTGGACTCAAACATAGCACCAAATGTGGGGATGGTACATAGGGTCACTAGGAATGAGAACCAACTCAATGGCACCTAACAGTGACAATAACATTTTAGTTACCATTGCCATACATCACCATTCAAATAACTTTTTTCTGCTCTTGTGACACTTTAAATCTTGTACTTTTCTTTTCCAATTATACTATAAATTGTTTGAAGACAGAATTCATGTGTGAATACCTTTATATCCTTCACAGCTCTGTAATTTACACATACCAGTCATGCATTAAAATTCTCAAAACTTAGTAGAAAGCAGCATCCTGAGGAAAAAAATGATCATTTTAATTATAAAAAGCATACCTACACACACATATTATTTCATAGGAATTGGGATGTAGTGTTACAAAGGTGGTTGTTGCAACATCAAGTCAATTTGGACTCAGAGCAACCCAACAGGACAGATTACAGATGCTCCATAGGCCAAGTTCCTAGACTGTAATTTTTCCAGGAGTAGATCCCCAAGTCTTTTCTTAGGTACAGCTTCTGGTAGATTTGAAGTGCAGACCTTTTGGTTAGGAGCTGAGCACTCAATTAAGACTAAATAAACAGGCTAAATTTGCTGGACAAGAAAATTATTCATCTTTGAATACAATGGGTAAGTTAAAAGCACAGATTTAAAATGTCATTTTTGTTTTCTTAATAAAAAGGGGATATCCTTAAAATATTAAAATAGGGGAAAGTGGAAGATCATTGAACTTGGTGGTGGTATGCCATGGAGTCGATTCCGACTCATAGCAACCCTGCATAGAATTCCCACAGAAGGGCTGGTAGTTTCGAACTGCTGGCTTTGAGGTTAGCAGCGTGACTCATAGTCACTATGCTACCAGAAGACTTAAATCTGAATCCAGATCATAGTGCTTATTAGTTATATAATGATGGGAAAATCATTTGACTTTTCAAAGTCTTGACTTTTTATCCATAAAATTATTTAATACTTCTTATTGATATGAGGAATAAAAAGGAAAGTATCTAACATAGTATCTAATGCTTAATAGAGGTCCGATGACTATGGGTTAAATATGCTTGCTGAATTAATAGCAAAAGTTTTACAGAAATTTTTAAAGCAACATATTTCTACCATCTGCATTCATTGCTTTCATAAGTAACTAAGCTAGCTAGCATGGTTTAGTTTAAAATACGCAAATGAGAACAGAAAACAAATGGTAAGGATTGAGGCAACAGAAAGAATCCTATTCATTGTATGTGGGAATGTAAAATGGTAACATTATTATGGAAAACAGTATGGTGATTCCTCAAGAAATTAGAAATACAGCTGCCTTTAAAAATGCACTGACATGAGTCAGTTCTGACTCATAGCTACCCTGTACAATGTTTCCAAGGATGTAAACATCAACATAAACAGAAAGCCTCATCTTTCTCCCTCAGAGCGGCAGTAGGTTTGAACTGCTAACCTTGCAATTATCAGTCCGTTATTTATCCTACCGAACCACCAGGGTGCCAACAATTCCACTTCTTGGTGTATATATATACACTAGTAGGAATCTAATAGAAGACACACAAACAGATCTATGTTCATCACAGTAGTATTCATAATAGCCAAAAAATAGAAGTCACATAAGTGTCCATTAACAGATGAACAAAATGTAGTATGAGCATACAATGGAATGCCAGCCATAAAGAAAGATGGATTTCCAAAACATCTTGGAACATGGATGAAGCAAGAAGATATTATGCTCAGTGTGTTAGAAAGCAATGAGTGTTGTAGACTGAAGTAGAACAGACTAAAGTGGTGCAAGTGGGAGAGTGAGATGTATGTGTAATCTTAAATAGGACAGCTGTGCTCTGTTATGAATGATCTCCAAGTTACGTTGTTAAACATAAAAAGGAAGATTTAGAAGAATGTGACAGTGGGCTGCCACTTGTATTTTCTTGTATTTAAGAATAAATACATATGCCTTTATGTATACATATATAGAAAAAGATATTATGCTAAGCAAAATAAGTCAATAACAAAAGTACAAATATTATATAATCTCACTTTTTGTAAGTCAGGACCACTTTACAGGGTCGCTATAAGTCAGAATTGATTTGATGGCACTGAGTTTTTAGAGGTAGCTCTATTTCTAATTTTTTTTATAAGAACTGATGATTTATGGTATTAAATATGAATATGAAAGCACCATGGACTGCCAGAGGAACAAACAAATCTGTGTTGAAAGAAGTACAGCCAGCATGCTTCTTAGAGGCCAAGATGTCCAGATTTGTCTCTCATACTTCAGACATATTATCAGGAGGGACTAGTCCCTAGAAAAGGACATCATGCTTGGTAAAGTAAAGGGTCATTGAAAAAAAAGAAGACCATCCATGCCCCAATGACATGGATTGGCACACTGGTAGAAGCAATGGGCTCAGGAATAATGACAATAGTGAGGATGGCGCAGGATCGGACAAGTGTTTCATTTTGTTGTGTATGGGGTCACTATGAGTCGAAACTGATTCAACAAAACCTAACAACAACACTTGTATAAAATGACAAGAACAGATATATGTTCAGATACTTATGGGGATGGGAAAGGTAGCACTGAATGTGAAAGAAGTGGCAACAGTTTAAACAAGGCATTTGATGCCACTAAATTGTACATATACACAAAAGATGTTTTGGTAGGTAGCGTAGTGTTACGAATCGGGCTGTGAACCGCAAGGTCAGCAGTTCAAAACTACCAGCCGCTCTGCAGGAGAAAGATGATGCTTTCTGCTCCCGTAAAGATTTACAGCCTCGGAAACCCTGTTCAGGGTTGCTATGTGTCGGAACCAACTCGACGGCACTTAACAACAACAACAATTGTTATATCTAATTTTACAACGACCACCACAAAACTCTTTGATATCCCAAGCGAGTAAAGTTTTGCTAAAGGTAATACAGAAACGGCTACAATCATACATTGACAGAGAACTTCAGAGGTTCAAGCCGGAATCAAAAGAGGCCGTGGAACGAGGGATATCATTGCTGATGTCCAATGGATCTTGG